GAGATGGAACTTCACATGAACTCTTTTTCTCCTGTAGCTTAAGTAGGAACACAGGCTTTTATGAATCACCCAATATGTTTAATAAGCTCATCTATTATTGTTTGTGGATGGCAACTATTATGATACCTACACTGTTAAGATACTGCTATCTGTACTTGTCTGATTATGACTGTAATCCCCCACTCCACTAGCAGAAACCCTCCCCCCCACACACACACACCAGTATTCACACTGGTTGGGAGATTATTGGAGTTGTAGTCCAAAACGTAACTTTTCCAAACTCTGTCTAGGAGAGCAGTAAATTTGACTGAGATAGCATTGACTAGCATTATTCACAACATCCATTCCTGAAGAGGGATGAAGGAGGGCAGTTAGAGGGAGGTACTTATGCTGTTTCTTTGAAGGTAGCTTTTTGAGTGATAGCCTCATCGTCAGCCAGAGAGCAGAGGTTCATATAAGTGAAGAACCCCTCAAGAAGAGGGGACTTAGGACAAAAGGGAACAGGAAATGCTGGAACCCTGATTCATCTCACCCAGGTTTATCAACTGTGACCAACAGCAGTTCTGGAGGACTTCATGCTGCCATATTTGCGGCTCTAGCTATAGACACTTGGAACTGAATCTGTGACCATTTGCATGCTAGATGCTAGTGTACTCTACCACTGAGCTACAGCCCCTCCTTACCTGTCTTGGGAAAGTGAGCACTGCGAAGGGGTTAATCCTTTCATGTTATATTGCTTTGTGTACCTGAGAGTTATATTATAACTGTTATAGCTTGGATGTGACAGTTCGCACCAAACAGAAGCTATTCTTCTATCTGCTTCAAAGAAACTTGTAATTTCAGACCTATAGAATTCTGGACCAGTTTGACAGGATTCTTCTCCACAAGGAGTTTACTGGTTCAGTTCCAATTAAGCAAGATGTGATAAGGTGAGTAAAAGAAAATAGATTTCTGGAAACTTCCATTGCTGTGGTAAATAATCAGGTAGGTTTTGGCTCCTGCATAAATGGCAGTCTTTCCTGGAAAAACTTTTCTAAACTCAGTAGATTTTCTATATAAGCCACTACCACTTCCTTCTACCTGAGTGGAACAGTTTGTTCCCATAATATAAATACGACACAGCAGTATTAGAAACATGAATATATTGAAAAGCACCTTTCACACTTGTTTACTTACTGTTTTAGCTCATAGAACTAAAAGGAAACGTTTTCTAACACATAGATCCAGAAAAATATTTGGTCTGCAAGTTACATAATTCAATGAAGAAGAAGAAGGAATTGAAGCTGGAGATGCAGATTGCTCTTGGAAAAGTTCCTATCTGACACGTCACACATAGGATCTTTTAAGGCCTCATTCCAAACCCATGTCAAATAATAGCACTTGTATACAGTGGTACCTCGACTTATGAACGTCTCCACTTACAAACATTTCGAGTTACAAACGGCTCCGTTTGCAAAATGTTGCTTCGGCTTGCGAATGGAGTCTTAACTTATGAACAAAAAAACCCTTTCCTCCCCCTAGCGGTAGAGTATGGATTAACCAGCTTTGCATTAGTTCCTATGGGAACTAATGCCTCTACTTGCGAACGGCGCATCAATATAAGAACGAAAAACAGCCAGAATGGATTAAATGGTTTTCAATGCATTCCTATGGGAAACTTTGCCTCGACTTACAAACTTTTTGATGTACGAACTCCGTTCCAATATGGATTAAGTTCGTAAATTGAGGTACCACTGTAATTTGGAACAGAATGAATAAATAAGGCTTTTGTCTCAATTTATGTGGTGCTCCAAGCTGTACTCCAGATCTCCTGCTCGCCTTCCTTACTGCAACCATGCTGGTTTGAAATAAAAAGATAGAAGGGTAGGGCAGGAGTGAGGGATGAGGTCTTTGTTCACAGAGCATGATAGAACTGTAACTATCAGTTTTGATGTTGTCTTGTCTAAACTTGGGTTACATGACATTGGCATATGCTTGGTGGGTACAGAGGAATGGTTAGGGACATGTGAGATTAAGGGCATGGTGGCCATATTGGTTCTCTACTTTGTTTGCCTGAGTTCCCTTCTGACCAGGAGAACAATACGTATGCTCCCCCAGCAGCAAAGTTTTCCACAGTCTGGATTTCAGCACCCTAGGCCAAAGCTCCTGTTACCCCATCTTAGTTATGGCGCTGATGTGAGTGTAGTTTAGTGGTTTGAGTATCTGACTGCTACCCTAGGCCAAAGCTCCTGTTACCCCATCTCAGTTATGGCGCTGATGTGAGTTTAGTGGTTTGGGTATCTGACTGCTAGGACAGAAGTTGGGAGTTTGATTCCCCACTGTGCCTCCTTGGCCTGGCTAGGCTTGATGATCCATAGACTCCCTTCCAGCCCTGCAGTTCTAAGAGAGTTCTTTCTCACAAATGTCCATCACTGACAGTCAGAACGGCATGAAACCCCATCTCAGTTATGGCGCTGATGTGAGTTTAGTGGTTTGGGTATCTGACTGCTAGGACAGAAGTTGGGAGTTTGATTCCCCACTGTGCCTCCTTGGCCTGGCTAGGCTTGATGATCCATAGACTCCCTTCCAGCCCTGCAGTTCTAAGAGAGTTCTTTCTCACAAATGTCCATCACTGACAGTCAGAACGGCATGAACAAGATAGGTCCCGGCAAAAGACGCGTACTGTTTACTAACTTCCACTATAGTCCTAAGTGGCCAAAAAGTCCAGCTGTGTTGACCACAGGCCAGTTCAAGCTGTGCTAAGGAACCTCTCCTAGATTTCACATAGGACTAACCTGCCAATGTCTTTGTTTGCTTATTTATGTATAGCAAATGCATGCCTGTGCCAGCATTGTGGATTTGTCCTTGGGCTTTGATCGGTTTCTCAGTCAGTTCTCTGGCCTTTTTGCAGCTTTTCTTCCTCCAGATCTTTCTAGCAGAGAGGCTGTGTCTGCAGAGCACTGTGCTGTCAGATCTCTGAGGATCAAATCATACATGAAAGCAGAATGGTATTTCTTCTCCTCACAAAATTATACCCCCTGAAAGCATTTCAGTATGACCCATGCAATTTCCTAATTCATGAACCACAAACCAAAAACAAGCTAATTTGCCAAATGTACGTAGTTGAACTGAGCTTTTGTTAGAATATACACTCTTTTCTTCTTAAGAGTGCACTGCTTCTGAATCAGCAATCAACAACTTATTTAATGGTGCCGTAGGTCAACAGGCAGAAGAGGATTTTCCCCTCTGGGATTACTTGTAGTACTCACAGTAATTGGCGCTGAATGGTTTTTCCCAGCTACATCTAATGTAATGGACAGTATTGGTCTTGATTTGGTCTTGAATTGGCAACTGACAATCATTAACTTACAAAACACCTGACTGTCATTGATGTGGGGTGATGACATGGGCTGATCTGGCTGCCTGCCTTTTTACATGCTCTTGGGAGGGGAGCTGGTTATGGCAACTGTTATAAGGAGCATGTGCCTTTCCAAATTTACTACCAATGTGTACCATCAACAACCATTGCTATCAACCACCAGTATGGCACAGGATATTATAAGCTTGAAGCCTAACTCATAAACAGTCCCTACCCAGCTTTGCATTTGGTTTGCCCATCACACTCTTCCAGATTGGGTTAATCCAGCCCAGTGACTGAAATTAATAATAACCTTAGAACTGCAGAGCTGGAAGGACCCTATGGATGATCAAGTCCAGCTCCTGTCAAGGAGGCCCCATGGGGAACCGAACTCCCAACCTCTGGCTCCACAGCCGGAGACCTAAACCACTGAGCTATCTATCCAGCAATTCTACTGCCACAACTGTTTCTTAACAATAGCTTCAGCATAGTTGATTCTAAATCTTCGGGACAGAATGCAGATAGGTATATCATGTGTATTGCCATGGCATATTGCTATAACATTCAGAACAGACAATACTTGCATTCCAGCGGACTACTGGCTATGGATTCTCCGAGGCAGGAGGAACCAAGCCTAAACATGACTGACATTCTTATATGTTCCTCTTGTTATTATAATCCTTGTAAAACTCTAACAAATTATTTCCACATATACTTTCTTTCTGCAAATTAATTGTAACTAGCAATTGTAACCAAGACAAGCAGTCTTAACTTGGTGATACACAGGCTTTAGGGGGTTGGGATTAGTCGCAAGCTTCTTTTATTGGCAGAAATCAGCTTCTGCCAAGAGAAACATCTTCCACACGTGATCTCCAAGATCTGCTGACAGATTAGTCTGCCAGCAGAACTGCTCCATGGGCTAAGAGTTGCCTTTATAAGAGATGGGGAAAGGGGGAGGGCAAAGAAGGGAATGGGATAATGGAGGAGCCAAGTTACACTAGCTCAAACGTCTTCCAGTTCAGTGATATTGCCACAGTGAGAGTGCAAAGGTCAGGACAAGGAGAGTCCTAAGTAAATTCCTAACACCTTTTTGGTGGGAAGGGTTTGGATTCTGCTCAGCTTCAGCTCAACTAGTCTTTAACCACTTTAGCCAGTGAGAACTGTGCTCTAAAGCTTCCATTTCCAAGCTTTGCCCAGAACTACTGAAGGCAACACTAAAAGCTCACAAGTGTCTCTCCCTCTTTCCCTGACAGTGAAAATGCAAAAATAATCCACCAAATAACTAACAGCTGCTTTCATGATGAAACCGAACATCTGCAAAGATGTTTGGTTTCCTTAATGGCAGTGTCAGCGATGGGATTTTCCCGTCTTTATTGGCCATGATAAGAATACAGGAAATCTCTCTTTTTGTCAGTCTTCTAGAAAACATTTATGCAGTTATTTACGAACCTGTGATAAATATCAGACCACTTCTGATACCTAACGGCCACTTAGCTGCCAGGAGGACAGAACTGACATTTAGTGGAGGACTGTATGTTTTCTTTCTGGATTCCGGGGTGGGACTTGGCATTGATGGGTTTGTTTAAAAGGCAAACAACTCTGCTCTTGTAGTTAGAAAAGGAACTGTAAAGCATCTCACCAACATTCACTGAACCAGGAGGAAAGGGCTCATTCAGGCTTTATTTAAATCAAGAAAGCAGAGAGTGGCAGAGACCGCAAAGCAGGAACACTATGAGTACTGCAGGCAAAGTAAGTGGACAGTTTCATGTTGCTTCAGAGCTTGGAGAAGGTTTTAATTTTTTTTAAATTAATGATCAAAATTTTTCACTAGAACTGTTAGAACTTTAATATTTTTAGACTACATCTCCCAATAGACCAAAAAATATTTTTTCCAAACTCTTCACTGTTTTTTAGAGGACAAAATGAATGTTCCATTATACTGTATAATAATTTTGTATAATACTTCTTAAAGTCATGTTGGCTAAAAAAATTTCCTGGTTGTTGTTGCTCTCACTGTAAATTTGTTTCATGATAAGTAATCCAAAAGTTATATTTATAAAATAATCCAAACAGTGCAAAAAATAGTAAACTCCAAATCTCAGCACAGACATATACAATACACAACTTGGGTAGCTGGAGAAACAACATGTTGTTGAATGAGCAATATCCCATTTATTTTAGTTGAAAATTAAAGCACTTAATTCATCACAGTTGACAGCAATCAGCAGTGCTTAACATGTACAATTTTTTTTTCCTAAAGCAATTCATTATCTCTCACTTCCAAGTACCTCTCATTCTTCATGGTCATGTGGGACTGGAGAATGAGATCATATGTTTTGAATGGCTCTTTATTTTACATCTGGATGCATAAATATCACAAGAAGAGTATTGCATTCTTTTCAAATGACATGATAAAGCAATCAACGATTGCAGAACTCAGACGAGAGATTTCAGCTTGACCACAGGAGGGAACACAGATATAAAGTGAGCAGTTAATGCAATATTTCCTTTACATTTCACCCATCATTGAAGCCACTCAGCACAGTGCAGGTGGCTCTCACTAAGGCAGGAGGGCATCCAATGTCATCAGCCTAATTCTTTAAGAACAGGTCATATCCTGGTGAAAAGGTGGACGTTGTCCCCTCTAAAGAGGTGAGCCCAATTTCCTGTTTGTGCTGTCTGGACAAATGAAAGTGAGCATTTCTCTTGCATCTCTCTTTGCCTTGTTTATGACTAATGGGTTTCCTGCCTCCTGCACAGCATGCCCTGGGATCATCTTCTCCCAAACAATTATTACACCAGGGAACGACTTCTTCATTTGTAGGAAGTTGCAAATGGCAGTGAAATGTCAATCACAGGTCTTTCTAAAAGGTTATTGTGCCCAAATTGAATGACTAGCAACTGTGGTGGTGGGTCCAACACAGCTATCTCAAGAAGCTGAGGGTTTCAAGGCATCCTACTGCACACCGCCTCACCAAATTATCTGAAGCTGGCCAGATGGCTGATGCCAACCTAAGTGCCCAGACTGATGCTCAGACATGCCCCGTTGTCCCAAAGAGGATGCTGCGGTTAGATACAGAGATTCTTGGTGGTTGGGATTCTGAGATGGTTTGTATAGTCTTAATGGCATCATCTTGTAGAGAAGGTCCCTATCCAGCCAACCATCTCCTGAACCTTTCCATCCCTGGACCATCTTCTTTAGTTTTTGGAAGTACCATTTCCATGTAATGGCATCATCTTGTAGAGAAGGTCCCTGTCCAGCCAACAACTCCTGAACCTTACCATCCCTGGACCATCTTCTTTAGTTTCTGGAAGTACCATTTCCATTATCTTGTAAATTTTCATCTTGCCTATACTCAATAAATTTGCTCTACCTGGGACTAACTCTTGGGTTTCACACAAGTGGTTCATTTTTAGAACTAGTTTCCCTTAAGCTCTTCTTTTATCCCATAAGCTGAAAGCTTCATTCAACTCAACAATCATTTACTAGTTCTACTAGTCAATTATTTTCATAGGACTATTTTTGGATTTCTTCAGAGTTTTGCTATAATTTTTTTTTGCAGATGAGGATTAATGAATGGTGTACATTTTCTTAAAATTTTTAGGCAACATACTTAATGTAAGGTCAAATGATATTTCTGCCACTGTGTAATCCTGTGCATACCTCTATGCTGTTGTTCTGACTCACAACAATGAATGTATTAATGTATTTGTGAAGGCTTTCACGGCTGGGATCTAATGGTTGTTGTGGGTTTTTCGGGCTCTTTGGCCGTGTTCTGAAGGTTGTTCTTCCTAATGTTTCACCAGTCTCTGTGGCCAGCATCTTCAGAGGACATTATTAATGTCTTCCAAAAGGTACTGCCATTAACTCCCCAGCTTAAGTCTTTCAAACTAAAGATCTCTCTTTATTGATTCAATCCATCTAATGTTAGGTCCTCCTCTTCTCCTATTGCCACTCATTTTTCCATAATATATCCAAAGTGCAAGAAAACCTGTTCAGTACTTTAGTGTGTAATGACAAACTTCATTTTAGTCTAGAGTTCAACCTCCTTATCTTTTTCATGAACCACTAAAATGTGTCCAACACCACATTTTGAATGCCGTTTTTATATCACTTTCTTTGCTGTCCAGCTTTCACACCAAACTGCAATTAGATTAAGATGAAGGATGAGTGAAAATTAGAGAAAGAAACATCCACAATTTAAAACAGGCAGATGACATCATATTAATGACAGAAAGCAGAAATGACCACTGAGAGATGTTAAACAAAAACATTGAAAAGCAGGATAAAAGCTGAACATTAATAAGAGGGGAAAAATCATGGTTACAGAACTAAGTAACTTTAATGTCAACAATCAAAACTTTTCCATACCTTGGTTCAATGATTAACTAAAGTGGAAACTGCAACCAAGAAATCAAAAGGAGATTTGAGACTTGAAAGGGCAGCTTGAAGGAACAAGAAAAGATCCTAAAGTGTACGGATTTGTTACTCAAGAACAAGGTTAACATACATGGGCTGAAATCTTCTTTATTAAATAATGAGCCTCTAAAGAGAAGGGGGGGGCAAACACTCATGCACCAAACCAGCATGTGCACACGCCCCTGAGAATTGCAGCAGGAATCTTTTATTTAAACGGGGCCAAAACATACCAATTTGCTTATGTTGTGCAATTTCAGCCATGAAATACTGTGGCCAAAATCCAACTATACTAAAGTAAAATTGCAGATTGAGGAGGCCCATTTGAATCACAAATCCCCACTGATTCAGTGGGCCTAATCGAATGTGATATAGTAAACTAAGGAACAAGATGTGGGTGAATATCTGGGCCACAGGTTTACATACAGTGTGTGTGATGGCTGGAATGAGAGTGGGACTAAGTGGAAAAATAAGAATTATGTATTTTGTTGAACTTCCAGTGTGACAACTGCATTATTAACACAGGTGGTGAACTTTCAAAGTGTTAACAGCAACATTCTGGGAACCTTGTAGATACATGTAAACGACTTGAGTTTTCAGGATTTAAGTTTTTACTGTACCCCATATGTCTGGAGAATAATCAATGAAAGCTCACACTAAGCTGCAGTAGGTCTCTTAATCTTAAAGATGCCACAATACTTTTGTTTTTGTTCTTGTTTAATATAATTGCAAAATATGACTAAAGTAAATGTAGTATTATGTTTTTGTGTAAAAAAAACTGTTGGGATGAGAGAGGTATCAGCTGATGCTATTGTAGGGTATTGGTTTGAGGAATCATTATTAGTTAAGTACACTATCATTCATATACAGTGTTATACCGGAAGCTGAAATAATGTTGCTTAGCATAGTAAGTTGCAACAAGAGTAGGGCCATTGAATCAGTGAGGATTTGGTGAGTCAACTCCCCAAATAAGCTCAATTGATTCAGTGGACCTACTCTAGTAGGCTTTATTACACTGTGCAACAGGATTTTAGCCATGATGTTGGATTCCCTGATATAAACATACACTGACCTTGATACATTTTTAAGATCCCCTTACTTCACAACAGCAAATGCAATGTTTTAATTCAGCGTAGACCAACACGCTGCGGTTACTCTGGAAGAAAACAGAACACTTTAAACTTTTGCCCTCAAAAATATGGCAGAGGAAGTCAAAACAAATCAAAACCGCAGTTTTGGACTGAAGAGTTCCCTCTTTATTCCTTTCAGTAACTTCAGATTTAGGGGCACGACTAATTATTGCCACAGTCAAGAACAAATGTTGTAATACAGGGCAAGTAATAAACATACAGGACATTGTATTTTAAAAATGTTGGTTGTTATTTCATATTTGCTTTGTCTTTCTGCTTAAAAATAGTACCAACATTGCTACTAAAAACAAATTAAACAATAAAATGATTAAAAAGTTACTAAAAATGAATTAAACAATGTCACTATCAAAACAGTTGAAAAGGATAGCTTGAGGAAATAGGTGTTCATACTAATGGTTGTTGTGGGTTTTTCGGGCTCTTTGGCCGTGTTCTGAAGGTTGTTCTTCCTGATGTTTCACCAGTCTCTGTGGCCGGCATCTTCAGAGGACTGGAGTAGGAACTCTGTCCATGCTCTGTTCATACTCTTTCTAAAAATAGCAAGAGGAGCACTTTGAGTGGCTTTTACAATGTGAGAACAATACCAGAGAAATGTCTCTTCCAGGAACCTGTTAAAGGGACATTTGAAAATGGAGTAATGTCTAGAGAACCCTTCCTGAGGGTATTAGAAAATGGACAGGCTCATAGCCAGAACATGTGTTTCCATAGAGAGCTAGATTTCAAGACATCTTGGTCCTCTAAAAATTGTCTACTTAAGGCAGAAGGAAAAGTTGGTCTGTATTTATTTGTATGATGACTGCGTCGTGTTGGAGGAATGCGCTATAAGCCATAAATGTATTGCGATTAGTACTACTGATAAGATTCCAAGCTTGCTCGAGTCTAGCATACAATAACAAATGTCATTCTGTCCCTTGTTTTCTGTTTTTACAGGTCATTAAATGCAAAGCAGCCATTGCTTGGGAAATTAAGAAACCCCTATCTATTGAACAAATTGAAGTAGCTCCCCCAAAAGCTCATGAAGTTCGCATTAAGGTAGATCAAGAAGAAAATGTTGATGGATGTTAAACAAATTCAGCATTCATCCCCAAGGCATTGTTCTGTTTCATTTGTTTATTGGAACTATATTATTGTTACAGAGGTGAAAATGAAATTTATGAAATTAATTTCCGAGCATGTTTCATATTACAGCTGTAGAATATCACTGATATAACTCTAGGAAGGTGGTTGCCTTGGAACTTTCATAATGCAACACTTGTTTTTGAAAAGGATGCTAGCAATGAAGTGGGGGGGAAATTAAAATATGAATGAAGTATGGTCCTTTGATTTTCAGAATGCATTAAAGAAAGTGTAATAGAGATTAGACATCCTTTTAACTGATGTTATATGAAACAGGGCAAAAACACAAAGAAAACTTTACTCCTTAAAGCATAGTTTCATTTTTGTGCAGATTTTGGCTACAGGGATATGTCGCTCAGATGACCATGTGATCAGTGGTGCCTTTGCCATGCCTTTGCCAATGATTTTGGGTCATGAAGCAGCTGGCGTTGTGGAGAGTGTTGGAGAAGGAGTGACATGTGTGAAACCAGGTATGATAAAAGAAAGGGAGAATGAATTTCCAAAGTCTCATTAGTTTAAACCGGACAGTATAATCAGCCCATTATTTCAAACAGGGCTTTGTTAAATGTTGAGAATCATTTGCTTGTCTTAGCTCAAGATTTTCTTTCCTTTTGCATGTTTTCTTTTGTGATTGGTCACTGGCAGGTAAATGTGGGCTCCATTTGCAAATCTGATAGCTCTGGTCAGGATGTCCAAGGAGATACAGTATTGTCAATGGAGAGCAAATATGCTATCACTGTCCGCTTACAAGCTGAGCAATTTGTGTAGTTTGAGCCACTAAAAGGCACTTTACACATAGAATCTAATTGGCCTCCTGGCTGAAATAACAGTCACAAAATAAATAAAACACTGTGCATCAGGATGTAAACACTGGATTTTAAGCAGCCACATGGTGAATTATTAAAAAAACAAAAAACAAAAGCACAATCTTAAGATAGTTCTTTGACTTCTGTGTACTCCTTTCCTTCAGTGCTAGAGAGATGAACCATGATCTCCTCACAATCAATCTTCTTTGTGGCCAGGAAATAACTCTTGTGGGCCTGAATCGGCACAAACACTAAAATGACATTCGAGGGGAAAGAGTATGGGCTAATCCACCTGGTAGTCACAACTGCAATAGAATCAACAAACAGAAGTCAGATTGAGTCAACAGGTCTAGTTCAGTTGCAGCTAAAATAGGATTTAGCCCTATGTTTCTAATTATTTTTAATTTTCTGCAGCCTTCGGTTGACTACTATCAAACTGGACTGTAGGTCCCCAGTTAAGCAACATTTCATTTAAACCTCACTGTTATAGCTCTTGTTTTTTGGAAGGGAAAAAGTTAAGTAATTTCTGATTCAAATCCAAAGTCAGTATATATTTTATTCGCCTCCTAGTTTTTGGATGTCTCCTTTAACTCTCTGTCTTAAGCTGTACCAAAGACATTTTAAAGTGTGTGGCACATTCTGATTAAACCAGAATCAAAGTAGCACGTTACACGTGCAGTCACATACACACTTACTTGAAAGTGGCCCCAGTAGGGCTTACTTTTTACAGACATGCATTCCATCAAGCTTTCTGCTTTCTGCTATTTGCTTACATTTGGTCTAGTTGGAGTCCATGACCACCAAAATGTTTGCTTACAAGACAAATCTTATGGGTTCAGGGTACAACAGTAAAAAAAACACAAATTATTGGCATTGGAAGCCTGCAATGTATCCACCATGTGTTTATCCATTTAAAGGGCTTTGTGTTAAAGGAGAAGAGACTTCTATAAATAAAAATGCACACCATGTGGCTGAAATCTTGTCACAGCTATGAGCATGCAAGGCTGATGATGTAGTTAGCTATGGCCTTTTATAGCTAATTAATTGGTTCAGAATCCATCTACCTCCAGTTCTGATGGGACTGTTATTTTTTATTTTTGGACATTAATGACACGCATGCCCCTACTCTTCCCAGAATAAAAGGGGTCCATAGGGAGTTTTGAAACCTGGGGCTGGGGAAATTTCCTGTTAGCTATAAAAAGATGTAGCCAACCATAAATGTTTTAAGATTTATTAAGCATCTGGGTTACAACTGAATGTAACATTGTTTTGCAACCTGAATGCCATGTGTCACTGATCTAGCCATGCATATAAGCTTGCATAGTTGATTGCAAAATTTAAAACTCTTAATTTCTCTTTTATTTCTAGGAGACAAAGTAATTCCACTTTTTGTTCCACAGTGTGGAAAATGCAGTTCTTGCCGAAGTACCAGAGGCAACCTGTGTTCCTCAAATGAGTAAGTTTCATTACTGGTTTTAGTACAAGTTGTGACACAAGTATCTTAACCTATTGTGTCACGGCTATGATTTAGACTAGATAGGTGAAAGGGAGTGAAGTAGGAAATAACTTAAATGTAGCTCATTTTCTATCTCTGTGCCTTCATATAATACTTCCTTTTTCATTCTCTCAGTTGATATTAGCCTCCAGGAAAACTCTTCTATCTCTAAGAGTGGCTTGGGGACCATCTGTAACCACTGCTGTAAAAAAGTTAGTTTTTTGGACTACATCTCCCAGCATTCTCCAATGGCTATACTGGCTGGGGAATTCTGGGAGCCATAGTCCCGAGAAGTAGACTTGTCAAGTTGTAAATGCTGTATATAAATGCTGAAAATAAAAATTAAAAAACAACAAACCAGATCTGTCCATGATTCTACAAGGAAACGAGTTCTCGTGTCTAAACAACTGAAGAGAAAGTGATTATTAACCATCACTAGGTTCAGTAAACCATACTTCATCTCATCCCCAATATCATCAGTGAATTCAGTACTATTTCCTTTTAACACAAACTGCATGCTTCTTGTGTGCTCTCTAAAATAATACTTCCAAGAATTTAGTGTAAACAAGGCAAGAAGAAACTGCTTACCTGGATAAGGACTTGACCCTAAGTCTTCTTGATTCCACGTAGCATTCGCTCCACATTCTGGATAAAACTACATGTTACCTTAAGCACGTCTTTGCATTTAATATGTGAGCTATTCAAAACTGCAAATAGCTACAATTTAAGGGGATTGAAATCTATCAGGACCACAACTTGTGGGGAGCAGGGAGGGAGGTGAATATCCTCCCCTGCTGTGACCCTGTGGAAAATCTCTCTTTTGAAACTGATATTTATACTGTGGGGAAATTCCCCTTTGGGTCCAATGGAAGGTTGCACATAGCATTTAGAGAAAGATTTTTGTCAGGACCACAGCAGAGAAGAAACAGTGAAGGTCTGCAGTGATCTCAGTAATTATCAGCCTCTTCCCACCCCTGTGATGGATGATGTTTACATTTTTCAGTTCAAAAAAGGCACATTAAATAATTAATTGCATGCCGTCAAGTCAATTGTGACTTACGCTGACCTTTCCCAGGGTTTTCCAGGTAGAATACTCAGAAGAGGTTTGCCACTCCCTTCTTCTGGAGGTGCCCTGGGACTGTGCAGCTTGCCCAAGGCCACACAGGCTGGCTCTACTCGCAGGAGGCACAGTGGGGAATTGAACTGCCGACCTCTAGCTCCACAGGTAGATGCCTAAACCACTGAGATTTCCAACCAGCTATATTAAATAGAAAGAGGCATCCAATTTCACACCTATTTCAGCTTTTGATCTTAGTGAGGTTCCATTTTGTGAAATCTCACTTCGTCATCTCTGTGTGTCTCTTTTCAACAGTCTGAGTGAACCCAGGGGTTTAATGCCTGATGGCACCTCTAGGTTCACTTGCAAAGGGAAGAACCTCTACCACTTCATCAGTACCAGCACCTTTACTGAATACACCGTGGTGCATGAGAACTCCGTGGTCAAAATTGATGCTGCCGCCCCATTGGAAAAAGTCTGTCTGATTGGCTGTGGGTTTTCTACTGGTTATGGAGCAGCCGTTAAAACAGCCCAGGTGAATTCCAGAGAATTTGTTTCAATAATTTATCCATTGTTTTGGTATAATTGCAGTTAGACACAATTTTATGTAATTTATGAGCATCAGCGGAGGCTCTGTTATGTGCCCCATCAGTTAAAAAGCTTCATCTTGTCACTCTACATTTTTCATTTTTAATACTGGTCTCAAAAATGTGCACGCACACAGAGGAACAGCTCTCTCTGCATCTGTGCTTTTGATTTTATGAGCAGCTGTAATTATATTTTCATTGTTTATTGCCCTAGCCTTCTTGTGGGTGGAGGATATAATTTATAAATTTAGCAAAAGAATGAATAATAAATGCATGCCTCAGCACAATAGATCTGTTGTTACTGCCATTTACCTCTCTTTCGGATTTGAATCAGAAACCATTTGTCCACTCTGTTGTCTTGCTCCCTGATTCACCATAAAAATCCTGAACTGGAAAACAAAATTATGTAAAGGAAGCACCATTGACATTGAACCTTCAAACGTTACTTTTATGTCCACATTTGCTGGGTGTGTGTGTGTGTGTTGAGAGTTGCAATCCCAAGAAATAGGTATTGCTTCCAAGAGAAACGCAGTGTGCTGTAGTGAATGGAATGACAACTAGGTCTCAGGAGACCTGGGTTCAAATCCCTCCTCAGCCATGGAAACTCACAGGGGGTGTGGAACTTGTAAAACCATTCCTTAAATATCCTACTTACTAAGACCCCGTTGAGGTTGCTATAAGTCAATTCTGACTTGACAGCACATAACAAAGCAATTATTTCCAAGCTCTCACTGGTATTACATATATTGACTCTCTTGTCAACCCAGTTCAATGGCCAGCATAATCAGTGTTGAGAAATATGGAAAAAACATAGTGAGGGCCACACCTTCTCTTCCTGATATACAGACTCTCACTGGAAGGAGCTGTTAACCTCCACGTGCAATCTGTGCTACCAGGAGTTTGAATAAAGGGCCACAAATCCAGTATATAAAGGATAAATTTAACTACATGTTTGTCATACACTAGTTGGCTGACTTATCCCAGTGTTGTTCTTCCTGTACTGAATGGCACCAGGTACACAATCATACAATATGTTTTCATTTTATGGTATTCCAGGTGGAACCTGGGTCTACCTGTGCAGTCTTCGGCTTGGGAGGAGTTGGCCTCTCAGCGGTCATGGGCTGTAAAGCGGCTGGGGCTTCCCGTATCATTGGAGTTGACATCAACAAGGATAAGTTTCCCAAAGCGAAAGAAATGGGAGCCACCGAATGTGTCAACCCGCTGGATTACAAGAAGCCTATCAACGAAGTGTTGTTCGACTTGACAGACGGAGAGGGTGTAGACTATTCATTCGAAGTGATTGGGCGCGTAGATACCATGGTAGGTGGCTTTGGAAATGTTCAAATCCAACAAATAAGATAATCCAGATGTATACACACCTACCCATGTCCAGAATTCTTTCCTGTGACATATTTATGAGAAGAGAACAAAAGCAAACTCTTATCTCTGTCATTGTCTTAGAGTTGGTGATCTTTTAGCCAACAGGCTGAATTCATCCTATCAGCTAGTCTGTCCAAAGTACATAGAAGACATAGGGGTTTGAGATAAAAATATAATAAATATTTGCATTTTTTTCCTTGACCTTGACAAGAAAGGGTGTCAGACTCTTGACATATTGAAGTGCATTATCCAAAAAAATGATTATTTTTTTTCACTCCTGCAACAGAGTGAAAATATTGATGTCTTTTTTGCCAGCAGCATTAACAGAAACAAACATGTTTTTGTGC